AACTGAATGTTTTCTCAGTAGCATAGTCTCTCCGCTTTTTCAAAAATACAGTATCCAACGCTCATTTTGTCACACTATTTAATTAAACGAAAGCTGTAAACAGTTGAAAATAAAAACGTAGTACACAAACAGAAACTTTGCCAAGAAAATGTGTTATGTCTAACCTCGGTAATATAGACAGTTACACTACTGCGTTGATAATTACCGCAGTCTTTATTCTTCATTTCTTTTTTTCTTTGAAATAATTGAAGTATAAGGATTTTGTTTCAAGAATCAATTTTACTTCGTATAAAAAAAACCTTTTTGTCCACATTTCAATCTATTTAATTGAACCGCAAGACAACAAAAATTAAATTTATAACCAATGGTTGAGAATCTCACAAAGTTATAAGTGCTTTTAAGAATGTTAATTTTTTTTCTTCTCTATTTAAAGCTACCGCCGGTTAATCCAGAGAGCCGGTTAAGCGGGAATCTACTGTACAATAAATTTTATCCAAACAAAAATTGAAATTATTCCTCGACCAAAACAGTCATTCAATTTCTGATTACCTATGTCTCATTCCTTTGGGATGCAACTTGAACAATTGCCTTTAGAAAACTTAAAATATTACAAAACCAAGAGAATCGCTCTACAAAATTAAGAGAAATGCTCCAAGACTTGCATTGTTCTGGTATTCAACAATTTTTTTTATAGCAAATTAAAACAAGATGACATAAGAGAGTTCTAAGCAATAAATATTTCGGTGGACAAAAATAATTGCTGACTAATAATTAAATGGCCAAAGATTTGAGAGTTGTTAAATTATTTTTGTAAATATTTTTGGTCTCTCAAGTTGCTTAAGTTTAGATATTTTATTTGGAGATCTTTGAGACTTCTATGGAGCTTTATGCAGCAGTTTAGCGCGCTTTCCGCCTAATTCGCTAACGACTGATATATTCTGTCAAAAAAAAAAATGTCTTTTGAAAACTCATTAAATAGTAAGAATTAGATTCTATTAATACAAATGTAAACTTTAACTTTAAAAATTAATACAAACTTTTCTTGAATGTTTCCTCGTTTGCAACCAGTGTGTAGTTAAGTTGATGTCCGTTTATTTTTTCTGTTCGATTTTTGTATTTTTTTTTTTTTTTTTTTTTATTAACATTACATTGGAAATTTAAAAACTAAGTCAAATTTATTTATTGAATATTAAAAAAAAATTATTAGGATTTCTTATCTAAAAATGTTTAAATAATAATTTTATACATGTGAATGTGTTAATAAAATCTTTATTTATTTACTTGTTTAAATCCCTCATTATTGTATTAACTCCTTTGATTTCGTTATGTCTTAACTATTAGTTGTGTTGCCCAAATACCCAGACTCGTCTTGCTCTTGATCGCTCAATCTTGGTCTTATTTTAATTCAACCGTGCTCAAAAACCAGCTGTAATTAATTGCTATTGAATAAAATTAAATCTTTGTTTTCGGTATTTTTAATAATAATCCGATAGAAATGTTTGTATTTTTTATCGCTGAAAAAAAACTACAGTTAATAAACAAAGAGAAGTTATTGTTTATTTTCACTACCCATACTAATGAGAAACCCACCTGTACTCTATATAAGTTATAACAGTAGACAATCGGGTTTTTAGATCCAATAACAGGTAATTATTTTCTTAACCGGTGACCAAATCTCCCTCCAATTGAACGCTAACATTTTGTTGAACCTAAGAGAGATAAGATCTTGGTAATACGAGTTGGTTATAAATTTTCAATATTTGAAAAACTAAAAAGATTAATTGTGGATTGATGGTTGACAGTAGCGAACAATTGAAGAGAAGATAGGTTGGGATGTTCAGTCTAAAAAATAAATAAATAAAAATAAACTATTTATTTTATTAATAATTTCCTAACTTTTTTACCGTTATGTTATACATCCTAACTTAGCTTCCGCTACTTTTTATCACTAACTTTGTTATCGTTATTTTATATTTTCTTTAAGTTTATTCTACCTACTTCATTTTACTTTAAGTTTATTTTACCTACATTTTTTAGACTATACCTTTCAACTACATGTTATTATTTTCTTTTTAATGTTAGTAATTTCTCATTCCTATTGTTATCTGTTTTTTCCTTATCCCTGATGAAGGTCTGAACTTTAGGGCCATGCTCTGCTAAAATAAAAATAAATATAATTGGTGATAAATATTCAGGACGCAGTCATTATAATTTTTTTTTATTTGTGCCGACGTTTCAGCCCAAACATGTTGGTCATCATCAGGGCTGAAAATTTTAAAATACAATTAGAGATATAATATTATACGAACCGATAATGATAAATAATAAACTATAGTGATTGATGGTACTTGACTATTATTACAATAAATAATATTAAAAATGAAATATGTAAAAAGTTATACAAACTAAAAATAATGTATACAATCCATTTATAAAAAATTATAATATTTTCTCTTACTAACCGTGGTTCGACCACTTAAGGGTTTTCAGGTACTGACACATTTGGTGGGTAAGTGAAAGGGTCGGGAGAGAATTTCCCAGTTGTTCTTTTCCAGATAGTAAAAGTTCGGTAAACATAGACAGAAGGGGAAGGGAGAGAGGGAGGTAACCTTTCTGTTCCTAGAATTTAAATAATTTGCTGACTAAATATTCAAGATGTGTACAAGATTTGAGTTGTTTCTTATGGTTACAGAATTGTGATTATTGGCTAGTAATGAAATGAACATAAGCAAGAGGTGCAATCAGTATAAATATAACATAGTTTGATTAAAGTTATAAAATGGTTAGTCAAATAATATTTATTATAAAGAAAATTGTAGTGAACTGAAATGATACGTAGGGCTATATATTACACAATATTTTAAAAATAACAATATTAATCATAATAGAAGTATGTTTATATTAAGGATTACATAGTTTTAATAGTATAAGTATAAACATATCTGTCTCTGTTTATGGTATATATTTATATTGAGAATGGACATCATATGTTGACGGGGAAATGGGGAAAAATGAAAAACAAAATTTTAATTATTATAGACTATTGTTTTAGGAGGCGGAAAATATTCGAATATGTGTTGCAGATCTTTTCTTTATCTACTTTGTGGTGTACCGGATTATTTTTTTTTTTCAAATTGATAAATATAACTTCAGAAAGTAGTCGTTTTTGGTGATTGGAAAATAAAATGTCGGCACAAATAAAAAATTTGTATAATGACTGGCTTCCTTAAAAAATGAATATAGTTTATTTATTTTTACATTTTTTTTTTTTTTACTAAAAAGCTTAAAATATTGTAATTTAAAAAAAAAATAAATTAGGAAATCCTGTTCATTTAACAAAAATCCATTACTACAGCAAGTTTCTATATTCGTAGATGTCAATATCCCTTTCAATATAGAAATATGGAATTACATCCCTGAAAATGGATAGGATAGTCCGATTTTTTTAGTTTTTGTTATGGTTTATTATTTTCAATAATGAAACATTGTGATCGACCAAAAAATTCTAAAACATAACCCCCTCTCAAAATTTGAGGTTTCACGTTTCAAGACGCGTAGAATTCGAAAAACGAATACAACTTTTTTTGCCCGTCCGCCGTCCGCGCATTTTCTTCGAAACTACTGGACCGATTTTTTTCAAATTTTGATATAAAATCAGAGGTTACCCGAGGATGATCCTCCTTCATCGACATTACTCTCCGCCTTTTACTTTCAAAATGGCGGCCGAAAAACCTGCGTTGCTATAGACTGTAGCTCCTAAACGAATGTACAGATTTTAATGAAACTTCGCTAAAGTCATTTTCTCGACGCCCTTTAAAGTTATCTATATAACATACTTCAACGAAAAGAAGCTGGAAAAAAAGTTACGATGGATGGTAAAATTAAATTCCGAATAACTCGAAAAGTTTTTACTTTTTTGTTGATCTTATATTTATTATTATAGTTTTTTAAAAGTTTGCGAAATTTACTAAAAAAAAAAAAAAAAAAAAAAAAAAAAAAAAAAAAAAAAAAAAAAAAAATTGTTAAAATGGTTTTTAAATTTTGAATGTGTTACTGAACTAATGCTATTTTTTTTTTTTTTTTTTTTAGCATATTACTAATGAATAAAGAAAAACAGTTTAGTCCAATAATTGAAATCACCTTTTGTTTTTTTTTCTTTGTAACTCGGATGGTAATGTTACTTTGGATGTATAATTGTTTGGAAATAATAAACCATTGTGAAATAATTTGCAGCGTTTTTTAATTCAAATTTTATTATTGTTTTTTCGCTCGAAACATTCATATTTATAACGAAAAAAAAAATACAGCAAATGATGAAATAGTAGGGAGTTATTGTTTGTATTTAGTACCTAAACTAATCTTATGCCCACCTGCACTAGCGGATCCAGGATTTAATTTTGGGGGGGGGGGCTTCAGCCCTGAAGCTTTTTTTTATATATATATATATATAACGATAATTACTTTAGAAAATAGAAAGATACTAACTACCTATATGAAATGATGTATAAGTGATTCTTGAAGTCCTATTAAATGTAATTAAGCGAGCAATAATACTTTAAGACATAATTTTTTAATATTTTTTACCATAAAACATGGATACATTTTACCATTTGGGGGGGGGAGGCTTCAGCCCGAAAGCCCTCCCCGTAAATCTGCCTGTGCCCACGTGTACTTTTATAACAGTAGACAATCGGGTTACTAGATCCGGTAACAGGTAATTCTTCCCTTAACCGCTGACAAATTCCCTCCCATTGAACGTCAACATTTCTGTTTGAGCCGGTGAGAGCACAGAGGGCTAAAGAGGTGGCGCGGTCTTTAACAGATCAATTAGGTGGGGCCCCTGACGGCCGGCATGCAGATTAACTGTTTACATGTGAGGAGCCATCGGATTGGTCGGGGAGGAGTGGAGGGCGGCACCCCATTGGCCAGGCAGCGGAGGGGTGGGGATGGCAAGGGGGTGGGGACCCGGGAGTGAGACGTCAGTGCAAGTACCGGCGCTGGACGCCCCCTGTGAGAGTGTACTGTTGTTGTGCCTTGTCGCTATGGTGATAGGATAGATGCCCGAGAAGGAGAGCTTGTCCCCGCTGGGGCTACCGTTCCACCACGGCCACTTCTTCCCGGGGCCGCTCCCCGTCGACGGGAGGACCCACGAAGGCCGCTACGTCTGGGAGTCCCCCAGGATCATACACCCGCCATCCCCGACCGCCTTCCACCACCCCCACCCGTGAGTACAACAACTATATTAATTATATATATAATACCAATAACAAAAAAAATATAAGTATCTTTGTCTTTATACTAATAAGAATCCAAAATTGTAAAAAAAGTATGAAGAAACTACCTAAAACATTACCTCCAAAAATCTAGCGGAACATATGAAACTAATTAACTACAGTAAATAAAACGCTACTAACAGTAACATTCGTGATCAGAATACATAAATGGACTAACTTTCAACAGCTTAACAATGCCCTCACTGGTGTATGTTTATTATCCTGCATCACACAAACAATTAAAAATACAACCAAATGTTTAAATTTAAAAAAAAAAATTAGTAATATAAAAATGTAATAATTGAAAAAAAAGTAAAGAAATTAAAACTTTGTTGTACGCGAACTTATTTTTAAAAAAATTGCCTGCAGTAAATAAAACACTACAAATCACAAGCGGATCCAGGATTTAATTTTGGGGGGGAGAGGTCTTCAGCTTGAAAGATTTTTTTTCATACATATAACGATAATTAATTTGAAAAAAAAGGAAGAAATGAACTAACTATATGAAATGGTGTTTAAGTAATTTTTGAAGTCCTATTAAATGTAATTACACGAACAATAATACTTGAAAAAAATTCCCTGCGGTAAATAAAACACTACAAATCACTAGCGGATCCAGGATTTAATTTTTTTTTTTTGGGGGGGGGCTTCAGCCCGAAAGATTTTTTTTCATATATATAACGATAATTAATTTGAAAAAAAGAAAAGAAAGAAATGAACTACCTATTTGAAATGGAAGTGATTTTTGAAGTCATATTAAATGTAATTATACGAGCAATAATACTTTAAGAGATAGTTTTTAATATTTTTTTCTATAAAACATGGTTATATTTTCCCATTTTGGGGGGAGGCTTCAACCCGAAAGCTCCTCCTCCCCGTAAATCCGCCTGTGATACAAATAATAATATTAACATAATACATCATATTATTTATAATGTGAAGATACTACTCCAAACATTTTCTCCAAAATTTGTATTAATTCTACTATAATTTATTAATGTTGAAAATATGACCTGCAATAAAAAAAAAAATACAGTTTTAACATTAAATATAAACGAACAAAGAATAATGGACCTCTCATTAGTTCATTACCTAACGTCAAAATAGCAAAAACTATTTTTTTAAAATACCCGAAACATTATAAAAGAATTTATCATGTTAAAATATTATCTGCAGTAAATAAAAAATATTACCAACAGTAACATAATTATATTTTAAACGCATTCAGATATTCTAGTTGGAATATTATTCAATAGCAAGCTTGACAACTGGCTAAGTTGATTATCTACCATCAAAATAGCAAAACAAACCCAAGTATTCAAATTTATATGAAAAATAGTTATAAAATAATCTTATAAAATAATTAAGTAGATAAAATCATTAAACCATTCCAGGCTTAATACAAAACACATATAAAAAAAAAGAAAATAATCCAACAATTTATTATTTATTTTAAAACCAATGTATACCGTAAAAAGAAAAATCTACCAATATTCCACAAGTAAACATACTACCTGTTGTTTAAACAGGCAAACATAAATATTGAACTAACACCGAACTTTAACCACTACAAGTTCATGTTGACTTCCATCATCATCCTTCATTAAATATAAAAAGCTAACAAGTATTTATATTGTTTTAAATAAATATCAATTAAAAAAAATATTGAATTTAGTAAAAATCACCGGAATCATTATAAAATAACACCCGATTTTATTTTAAAAAGCTCTTCTAAAATAAAATTATAATTTATAAATTAAGACTAATAAATAATAACATAAAAACTAAAATATATAAATTTATAAATGACATTATATTGCTTTATTTATTATTACTGGATTGCACCTATATAATCTCACTTATGCTGTAATATTTTCCTCATTCAGTAAATTAATTATTTTCAAAATTTGTGAAGGGAAATTATAAAATTGGCAGTTTCTTATATTTTCTTTGACTCGTGATTTTATTATAATCAAATCCTTATAAAAATTAAAAACGTTGAACTTATAGTCTGATTAGTTCATAAATGCATTAATAAGAATTTATTATTTATTTATATGAATAAGATTGACATTGAAAATATTTAAGTAACTGTGAAATCTATCAAGGACAAATATCAAAATGATGTTTAATAAATCTGTGACAAAATACACAAAATTATTATTGTTCACCTCCATGAAAACAATAGTAAACCCGTATCAAACAAATTAGTAGTTAAATGTTAGCGTTACTATGTTAATTATAATTTTACTAAATTATAAAATTTTAGTTATATCGAGTTAGTGAATAGTCTAATAAATAATTTAAAATTACCATGAGAGATATTTTAGTTAAGGTTTAAATGAATAAATTAATATAGGGAAACATATTTATACACATAGGAAATATTTAAAAATATTGTTATTTTATATAAATTTATTATTATAAAATATTATTTTGTAGTTGCTATTAAATAGTAAAAAAAAAAATCCATTTGATATTAATTATCAAGAGAAATAACAAAGACGGAAAAATCATGCAAAATTTCATCTTCAACTTAAATATATTGTTCATATTAATTAAATGGTATTTACTTATTTTAATAAAAATGTTTTATTACTACATGTCTTTGAAAATATAATTTCTTATTATAATATTATATATAATTAAGACGTGGTAAAGAACAATACCTTGCGCTAATACATTCCGTTATGATAAATCAGGAATATGAGGTCGTTTGATGTAAATAATATATCGATATTACACATATAATACATAGTTAATAATATAGAAATAAATATAAATTAACAGGCAGAATAAATGCTTTCAAAAAAACGCCGCTTAAGTCTCATACAACCTGTTGCAGTATGATATCATATGACAAGCATTTAGTTATATCCCGTCTTAAAATTGGGTAAATGTAATTAGAAATGACATGATCTTATTTATATATTGGTTAACTCATTTTATATTTACCATTTTTTTTTTTAGTAGTACAAATGGAAGAACTGATATTATTAAATTGAAAATTCTGCCCCAAAATATTAAAAATTCTGTAACATTGTTCAAAAAACGTCATAATATAGATAACTCACCAAATAAATATCTGGTCTATATTTCATTTATTAAATATAATTTGATGATTACTTATTTAATTAATATATTTATCGGAATAAAATTAATGTTATATTTAAAAATCATTTATGTTTACAGTATCATGCCATTTTTCTCTTCATTTAGAGGATATAAAAACAAAAATAAAAACAATATGATATCAAATAAAGACTTAATATTGAATCAATAAACTTATCTATTTTAAGTATTATATTACAAACAATATTTGTCTGTCATAAATCAATATTTTTTGATAAATTAACAACAGTTGAATACCACATTGTCTTTATATAAATACATAGTTAGGCTATAAATATTTTTTAACTAATTTAAATGACTAAAAAACAAAAATTATACTCTCAAATTATTTAATGGAAAAAATCTAAAATTGAAGATTACTTAGAAAATCATTATGTTTTGATTGATAATAAATTTGTTGATATAGACACACACACAAATATATAGAGAATATGAAAATACTTGAAAAATCCTTTCAATTTAATTTTTTTTTTTAAATAAATGGAAATAACTTCCTCTCTCAAAATTAACTATTTTTAAAAATGATAGAAATTTGTTGGGGCAGAGCATTATTATCAAATTAGATTCCTAAAAGTTTATTGAAATGTCATAAATAATATAAATTTCTTAAAGTACTGTATGTTATACCTCATGTATCTTAATTTATTTGAATAAGATCTTTATCCTCACTGGTCTAAATAAAATGTGAGCAATTTTAAATTTTATAGTTAGTTATATAATACAATTTACAATTCATAATTTAAAACTAACATCTATTAAAAACTATTCAATCATATTTTAATATCCACAAACTCTACGGTACCATCTGATTTAAATAAAATCCTATAACATCCAATTCTCTATTTATCCTATTCAAATGAAAGTACATTCTCATGTGAATTGGTACTTTCAAATAATAAAAGAAAATAGAAAGAGACTGTTTCTATTTAATGTCTGGGATCTAGGTTATGATGATAAATTCCTCAATATTTTCTTACAGGTAATATTTTATATTTATAACTGTTCTAGCGAGATAGAATTCTTAATAATTGTAAATCAAAACAGCAACAGCAATCCTAGTTTACAATTGACTGTAAAATAAGGTGTGTGATCTGTCTTGAAACACTTTTTTATCCTCACAAAATGTTATGAACTTTTAATCATAATTTTATTTTTCATATAAAAGTAAATATTTATAATTATATAAGTATATAATTTAATAATAAGTTTCAAATGTTTACTACTCTTTTTACTTTATTGTGTACCAAATCTTTTGTATGCAATAAGGAAATATGTCTAATATTTGAACAAAACATTTCATATTGAATTGTTGATAGTCATTCTTTCTTAAGTTTTTCTCTATCAGTTATGTCCAATTGCTATGATTTATGAATTTTTACGCTCATAAAAATATGTCATTTTTTTTCATAAGAAATAAACATATTTTTAATACCATTAGGAGCTATGAACTGAATCAAATTTGATTTTTTTTTTTCTACCAAGATCTGAAGATGAGTAAATCCAATGTATTATGTGAGGAAGAAATTGATTTTTTTTATCGTGGTCAAATGAATATAATCTTTCTACATTTAGAATCTTTCAAATTTTCGTAACTACAATTAATCATAAATGATATACTTCTTGAGTTAAGTGCATATAAAGTTTTCTATTCTTTACAAATATGCCCCTCCCCCTGACTTTTCTGGAGATGTGCTCATTTTTCGCACCGTTAGCAGAAGATGAACTTGTTAAAATGATGGCTCAATCATTAAATTTGATGAAGGCTTAAACAAGATATCGAATAAAAAAAATTAAAGAAATAATTTATACTAAAAAAGAT